TTATTATTATTATTATTATTATTATTAGTGGTACAATATAAAATTCTCAGCACAGGGTATTTCAACAAGTTTCTTACGCAAAAAAAAACAGAAACAAGGACAAAAAAGAAAAAAAGGTTTAAAAAACACCGAAAAACTGTGCAACTTTTAAAAGTAAAGACACGTTAGGAATGCAGGTTATTGACTAGGTTAACTCTAATAACCTGTTCGTCACAGAGTATATTTGCTAGGTAAGGTATTATAGAACTTTTATACTTTTGCTTGCGTGCATGGATTTTAATGTAATTACGTCTCGTTCTATCAGAAGATATACAAGGAGAAAGATAAGAGTGAAGGAGATGGTTAATATCTGATAAAATAACACCTGCCAGGAGTTTGCATGATTTTAAATATCTATCCACAACCATATTAATTATGACCTCGAAAGATTCACCACACATCTTGCTAACTGCCTTCAGCACTCTTCGCAATACAGCAAAGTCTTTTCTCAAAAACCCGGGAAAGAATAATGGAGAACAGTAAAGAATAATAGGTAATATGCAAGAATTGACAAGAATAGACTGATTTTCATAGAACCTCTCAACATATAAACAAATATGCTAGCCACTATCCATCATTGCTTACAAATAGCTTGTGAATTAAGATAATATCGAGGCATACGCACAGTATGCATATATGCCAATAACAGACTGATCAATTGCAGTCTTAAAACCTCAATGGTAAGATACAAACCAAACAATATCAAGTGAATATGTTCTTTTGTTTTGTAAAATGGTAACGATATAAAATCATAAAAAATCAATACTGTGAAATGTTCCACAAAGTACAAATCACATGAATAATATTTGTTAAACTAAGAACTCTTACATATAACTAGGCAAATCAACGTGGATAACTATAAGTCTAATCTGTTACAATGAATTTAATTGACGTTTTACAACAATCCTTACATATATATATATATATATATGAAGTGGTCAGGTTTAATAAGGAAAGAACTACTCTCTTTCGTTAAAGAAAGCATTCACTGTTTACAGAAAAAAAAATGCGGAAATGTTATCAATAGTCAAGATTAAAGGATAATCTTAGCATAAGTAATAAATATACACACGGAAGAATACTAAGAATGAATGAAACATTGTATAGATTTATCCATATATGTATATTATCATTCATAGTCTATATGTCTAGTTGTATTGGTTATTCAGTTAACTGATCTGTTGTTCTTATGTATATAAAAGGAAACTTAAGGAAATGTATTAACTTTATAGTAGTTATTATATATTATTACTTAAAGGATTGTTTGTTATCATAGAATGTAATCATTTCTTATCAGAATCTAAATCTTATTTCAAGTTATAACTTTGAAACTGTCAAGTATATGTGTTAAGTTTATAACGTTTTTTTTTCTTTTTGAGAAGGATAATGATAAGTCTTGCAAATTGAACGCTATATTCGTTTCCTAAGCTATTCTGTAACCCCCAAGCTAGAACTATACAGCGACCTGAAAAACGAGAGAGAGAGAGGAGACACAAAATATGTGAGAAGTACTTTACTCCAAAGGTTCATTTTAATACAGAAAATATAGGGTTTTTGCAATATTTTAAATGCCTTTGAGTTGCTCGAAGATTCTGGAATGTTACTAAACATAGTAGCAGTATAGCAATCAGCCAATCAGAACCTCTACATGTGACGTTTCACTTCCTTGATATTTTTGGCTAAAACTTCAAATGAACGCTGGTTGGATGAAGCGCTTCTTAGTGTTTCCTGATCCTTGTTTGTTTTTTGCAAGAAATTTTCTGGATCACTTCAACAGATAATAGTTATACATACACAAAGTTTTCAGTTACGTATTTGATCTATTTACTCACAAATATATAGAAGATAACTTGTTTCAATCTAGATTAAGACCTTGAATCGATAGGCTAACTGGCCTAACATTGAGACTAGAAATACGAGAGTTCAAATTTAGACTAATTGCTTGAGTTAGTGAGAGGTAAACTATTCTATCATCTGATTGATTGACAAGCGCGCGCGAGAAAGAGAGAGAGAGAAGACTATGCAACCGGATCACTACTCGATTTTCTCTTGATTACAATTCGCACTTCGATTCGGTTCCGATTCGGTAGAGTGAAATAACGTCCTCAAAATAAGCTTTCGTTGTTTGTCATGACTTCTTGTGTTTCTGTTCATATCAGCTTTTTTTTCATCAAATAGAACTTGGCAAAAATAAGTTTCATAAATAAGTTTCGTAAATACCAACTCTAGGATGCAGGTACATCCAGCTGACGAGTCCCAAATAGGATGAAACGCGCATTCTGGATTCCACTGCTAGTCACTATCCATCTTTGTTTATTTAATTACTTTATGCACAATGAATTCTAACCAATTTAGTTTGTATAAGTATGTTAAATCTTATTGAAATTTTTATTACGAAATACCACAGACTGTTAAGAAGATCATGAAAGCATAAAGATATATAATGAATAGATACGTTTCTTCTTATATCACTCTTCTTCTTCTTCTCTGTAAACTGATTATTGATCACTTTGGTTTTTCGACATCTCACTTGTAACTAAAGAAAGATTAATTACAGACACCAACATGAATTAAGTATTGAGTCAATGTAATTTGTAGCATATAGCTGAATTATCTCATATGTTAACTGTATTTTGTTGTTGTACGAATTCTGTAATGTAGAATTGTGTATAATAATATTGTCACCTACATGTTATCTATTATTTAGTAAACATTATTTTATAGTTTATCGACTTGAAGTTGTTTATCTTCTTCAGATAGATTGTCACTTGTCATTTTGTAACTAAAATTAGAAAAAGTAATCTTAGCGCGTTATTTCCGGTGATTAAGTAAGCTAATCTAGCAAGGTGATCGAATAATAGCCTAAGATATGATGAAAACTCACCGTTAACTATGTGGGTAGATTATCAAATAACAATAATCCTTCATAGTTACACAAACACAGTTGTTTACAACATACAATATCTTATGAAGGATCACAATAAAGAGTATCGAACCCGATAACACAAGTGCAGTCTTCAGAATATTCTATCGATTCGTAATATTTGTTTTAGACATTTCGTTAGGACTTATAATTTGGGCAAAAATAATACTATTTCAAACAACAATACTTCTTTCAATAGTTGATACCATAAGTCAATTAAAGCTAGACCACTATGGAAAACCTGGAAGCACTCGTCACTGTACATCAACTTCATTGATTATGAAAACGCATTTGACAGTATAGATAAGAGGACATTATGGAAACTTCTTCGACACTACGGAGTTCCTGAGAAGATTGTAAACATTATCTGGAACTCATACGACGAACTACAGTGCAAGATCGTGCATGGAGGACAGCTGACAGATGAATTCCAAGTAAGGGCCGGAGTCAAACAAGGCTGTCTACTCTCTCCCTTCCTCTTTCGTCTAGTAGTCGACTGGATTATCAAGAACTCGACATCTGAGGGAAAACGTGGAATACAATGGACAGCTCAGAACCAATTAGGCGATTTGAACTTCACAGATGACCTAGCCCTTCTATCCCATACGCACGAACAAATACAGATAAGGACAACCAGTGTAGCAGCAAGCTCTGCATCAGTAGGCCTCAACATACACAAGGAGAAAACCGAGGTTTTCAAAGACAATCCAATCACACTTGATGGCGAAACTATGAAAGATACGGAATCCTTCACGTACCTGAGAAGCATCATTAATGAATAAGAATGATCAAATGCTTATGTAAAGGCGAGGATTGGCAAAGCAAGGGTCGCATTCCTACAATTGAAGAACATATGGAACTCCAAACAACTGTCAACCAATATCAAAGTGAGAATCTTCAATACGAACGTCAAGATAGTTCTACTGTATGGAGCTGAAACTTGGAGAACTACTACAACCATCATCAACAAGGTACAAATATTTATAAATAGTTGTATACGTAAGATACTCAATATTTATTGGTTGGATACCATCAACAACAGTCTTCTGTGGGAGAGAACAAACCAGATTCCAGTTGAAGCGGAGATTAGGGAAAGGTGATGTGAATAGATAGGACATACATTACGCAAATCATCAAACTGCACCACGAGACAAGCGTTAACTTGGAATCGTGAAGGGAAGTGGAAGAGAGGAAGGTCAAAGAACACATTAGGTTGGGAAATAGAATCAGATATGAAAAATATGAATAAAAAGTGGTAAAAGCTGGAAAGGATTGCCCAGGAAAGGGTTGGATGGCGAATGCTGGTGAGCAGCCTCATGCTCCTTCACGAGGAGTAACAGGGGTAAGGGTGGGACTCCTCAGCAGTGCGCATCCACGACCCCAACGCGCGAAAATTCAAACCCAGGACTTACTGGTCACACACGCGAGCGCTTCACCACTGGACCACTGAGCCGGTCGGAATTCAACAGTATTAATTTCTAACTTCAACCAATCCATGAAATTGAGCGACACATCCACTATTGTCTTCAGTGAGTTACAATTTCACAACAGACCCGGTTGAACTCCACTGATCACTGCTTCTCACTAAAACTCCAGAATTTACATCATGAAGCCAGTCACTAGTGAGCATATATTGATGTGTACTGTGGATGAGTACTGCTAAGGAGTCCCACAATAGGACAAAACGGTCGTTCAGTGCTTTTAGGTTTTCCCATGGTAGTCTAGCTTAAACTGACTCATGATCTTAACTACTGAAATTACTAAAATCTCCACAAAACCTCTTCTAATACTACTTCTCTTCAATAAATAGTTAATAATATAATCATGTATATATATATATATATATATATATATATATATATATATATATATATATATATATATATATATATATATATATATATATATATATATATATATATATATATATCAACTCTTCTGTGGAATAGATTAATGGTTTTATTGATGTCCAATAATAAAGAACTAAACATTTCTTGACTTATTTTTATTAGAAACCTTCATTTTCTTTTCTTATCAGAGACTCAATTTCAATGTCATTCAACATGGAAACTGAATAATTTGAATTATATTCTCATCTATCAACAAATAAATCAGTATACTTATGAATTTTATCAACTGGTAGGTGTATATAATTTAAACTAAATTTGTATGATTTGAATATGTTATCTCTTTGATATTTTAATTTATACATAAAACTGTTTGATATTGGAAACAAAAAGGCTAAACATTATTCTTTTAGTAAAATGACGGTTATTTTTATTCATTGTAACCATTATTACTGAGATTTGGGAGAGACTCTAATTTATGGACGAGCTAATCAGAAGCGTTTTAGAGACTTCAAGGTTACGGCGCCAACTTCAGTGCTTAATCCTAACGTACGATCGGTTCACAGGGAATTTTGTACAAAACGTGATAATTGAGCGGCTATAACAAATCAAACGGCGAGACTATAATTTGTAGACGAATCAATCAGGTATTAGATAATAGATCTCGGATTTTAACATGAAAGCCTTTCATCCATTTGGCTAAATAGATTTTCGGCATTATAGCTGATATCAGTTCATGATGAAAACCCCATATATAATTCCTAACTAAGGCAAATTACGACAATTATTGCGAACTGGATAATAAAAGCACCAGTAACACTAGCTGCAGCCAGGTACTACAATATATACGGATGTTTGGAGAGCGTACAGACTCCTACATAGACTTGGTTATGTGTATCGTGTCGTTATCCACAAGTAGCATTTTGTGCACTCAACAACCGAAGTGCACATAAACAATACTGAAGCTATGTGGTCGAAGCTAAAAGAGTTTTTGAGACTTTATCATGGCTCCAGAGGCCGACTATTCTATAGCCGTATGGATGATTTCCTCTACTGTATGCATTACGATTTTAGAACCTCTGAACCTCTTTCTAACCTTGACAAGTTTTTGAACCACGTATAAGAAGTGTATCCACTTTATTTCCTTGGTTTTGTATAACATATTTTTACTCTATACTGAATGTTTGCTGACTGGCTAATATTTCTCAAGGTCGCTTAAGATTCGTTCATAGGTCGTCTATAAATTAGAGTCTCGCCAAATTTGAAATGATTTGTGGTTGATCACTTCAAATAGATTATTTCTAACATTGGTACATGATTGAATCTAACTCATTAGTGATTATTTAATTGCCTATTTGAAATATTTAACTATTAATAGTCTTGAATACATAAGAGTATTAGGATGATCACGAGTATGGAAAAGTAACCTCACAAAATATAAGTCAGTGTAACTTGCTTTATACAATAAATAGTCATCATTGAATCATCTTGATATAACTAGATGAAATGCATGAAATAAATAACAAAATGACTTAAAATAGTAGTTTTGTTAATAGTAGTCAGGAGGATTAAATGTACAGAAACCCGTTGGGATAAAAATCAATAGATTTTATAAATAAACATGTATGGAAGTATTTTTAAATCACCCCCCAGGCGCTATAAATTATTTGAATTTCTGTCTCCAAAGATTGATCACCATTAATTGGAGGATATGAATCAGATAGCTTAGACCCAACAACATGTCTCTGATCAAATATTGCTGGCCATTTTCAAACATATCATAATGTTTGACCGTCAAATGGCCTGGTACAGCCGAGGGTGGAGAAAGTCAGCTCGCTCTCTCAAAATACTCTCATATTGCCAAGAGTATACAGCCACTACCAAGGAAGTCCTACTTACTAGCTTCTCGTGGCATTAATATTGTTTACAAAATTGAGAGGATAAAAAGAGAATATCCGGCGCTTTAACCGGGTTGATGGGTATGGAGGGTACACCTAGGGGATTTGGAAAACCTTGATTCCAAACCAATGGTGCAAGTTGGCTCTATTATCCTGAAGCAAAAAACCATTTATGAACCACTTGTTGGTCGCTGGCTATCATAGAACTGCATCTCCTAACGTTGCTCCACTCCCTTGTGGATCAGACCTTTAGGTCGAAAGCTCCGTGTGTGCCTCTCTAAGAAGACCATCTCCTTCAGTTTGGACACCCGGACAGTATCCCAGCTCTCACACAATTCAAATGATTTATGCGGTGCTTATCTATTTAGTACTTTAATGTACCAATGTTTGTGTTTAAATAAATAATAAAATAAAACGACAATCATTGATTCCATAATATACTTAACCAATTAATTTCAGTCATCTTATATAAAGAAATATTTATTGTTATATCTAAAGCTTATATTCTGATATGACGCATACAACTTGAGCACTTGAATACGCTAGAACCCTTTCAAGTCACAATGAGTAGACAGAAGACTAGTGAAAGTAATGTTATTATGGACAGTGTCAAATTATAGTACAAACTGTCAAGTATTTATAGTTTATAGTAAAAAACAAAATCATCATTATAGCTATCTAATCCGGACACAGGTGGTTATTAGCATTGTCCAATCGAGAATCTACACGTAGAGATTCTAGAATATCCTTCTAAAAGATGATTGGATGTAATATCTTCGGCTCTTTCTGAGCTTCTTAAAGGCTTCCTCGTGTTCACCCATGGACCGTTCTCACGTTTATTTTTAGAAAACAAGACTCGACTATAGATTTTATTGTTTATAAAGTAAACGCGCTCTTTTTTCTTTCAAATTTTCAAGGTTTATTTACAATTACCACAGGAATTATCAATAGAATCAAAAACTTATGGAAAATTTTCACCAATATGGATTATTTATGGTTTACAATTAAATAAAATAATTGAACAAATAATAATTAATCGTATTTATACATGGAATTCTATTGAACGTTATAGTTCTAAATCAAAAAATATTGTATTATATAATACAAGTATAAACCTATATGAAGTACAAATTCGACGAGCATGTAAGTGATCTCAATTATTGCTAATTGGTTAAATTTTAATGTAATATGATGTGAGCTACTTATATTCATATAAGTAGTATATAACAATGAACAAATTTAAAGTGTATTCCTGTAGATCATAAAGGAAAGATCGAGAACGGAAAGCAATTGGTATGAAAATGTATGAACAATGAAATCTTAGATGATGGACTGATATTTGCGAAAGGAACAGTCAAGTTTGAGACGAATGTAAATTTTGTAAATTACGTTTTTACTCTATGGTTCTCAGATTTTAGTGAGATGGTTTAAATAGAATTCAAAGTTGTACGAATTCACTTGGTGTTGTTTTACTTGTATCTTCCCACTGTTATTTAGGACTGCAATTGGTCAGTCTCATGTTGACATATGTGCATCCTGTGCTGATTGCCTCAATATAGCCTTAAGTCACAAGCTTTTTAAACAAAGATGTATAGTGGCTACCAGTGGAATCTAGGACGCGCGTTTCGTTCTATTTGGGACTCGTCAGCTGGACTTACTCTGGGATATTAGACAATTCCCTATATTTGATCATTATTATCTCCAAAGGATTGCTGACATCCAGTGGCAACACCATGTTAGTAATGCAGGGGTCTGGCAACGTGTGTTCGGGCACAGTGATGATGATTAAATTAGTGTTATAATCTATGAAACACTAACTTTAGTGGCTTGAACATGTTCTACGAATATCATCTCCGAGAGTTCCATATCGTAACGACGTTTAGACTGGTTGGAAAAAGTGAAGAGCTAGTCAGTGCAAGACATGATGTCGTGGTATGAAAGAAAACTGTACAGGATTGGCTTGCTTCCCGACTCCCCGGTTTGGGATCCTGGAGATGTTATAACACAGTGGCTTGAGGCATCATCAGACGTGGCCCAGAATAGAAGTCAGTGGCGATCCTGTTGTGACTTTCTTTTACATTCTTCACAGAAATGAGAGTAACTCCATTCTTGTTGTATTGCTCCTAACTGAACTTCTTTTTCTATTGTTATTGTTTCACTTTCAAACATTAATTTCTGTTCACTATCCCACTTCTCTTATGTTATGCTCACCTACTATTTTGTACCTCTTCAAAACCTCATTTTTATTGTGTAGCGCATACATATTTGATGCTCCCTTGTACCACTGTTCATGAGATCAACGAATTTAATAAATGTATCCATGTAAATGAGTAATAAAATCTATAAAATTTAATTCATTTTGTAATGTTTGTTTGAAATTTCTCATTGATGTTTAGAATTGAAATTCCCCAGTCTCATATTAGCATGTGTGCATTCTATGAGGATTGCCTCGATATTTTTTTCATATCACAAGCACTATAAGCAGAGATGGATAGGGACTAGCAATACAATCCAGAACACGCGTTTCGTCCTTTTTAAGACTCGTCAGTTGGACGTACTTCCATCTTAGAGTTGATGTTCACTCAGAGACTCGAATCCAGTACCGTTCGTTTCAAACGGCATCGTTATATCCACTTTCTTGTGCAATGGCGTAAAGTTTAAATTTATTTTGTATTGTTTATTTGAATCTTCCCATTGAAATACATGTCCTGGATTCCACTGCTAGCCACTATCCATTTCTACAAAGTTTAGCTAAAGATCCTTGTTAAGAGATGAAAAATACAAATTCAATAAAAATTTTAGAAGTGAACTAATATCCTTTAGGTATATCATCGATAGTAACTAAACTAAACTTGATATTCATTGAATTCTTTTTTTTAAACAATACTATGATCTTGATTTCATTCGTTTGTTCTTATTAATTGTTAAATAATAAAAACTGAGACCTCCATGGAAAACCTGTAAGCATTGCACTGCCGTTTTATCCTAGTATGGAACATTAGGTTACATTATTTTGATTGTTGGTTAACATAAATAGAGTATGATACAATTATTTGCTTGGAATTTTACATTTATCAGAAAATATTTAGCCTACAAATTTTAACAATTTAGAACAACGTAGTGTGGTGTGTACTACTGATGTCGACAGACATTAGTAGTATGTTTCATTAATGGAAGGTGAAATGCCTGGAGGAAGAAGGTTAAGAAGATCAAATATAAGAGAGCGAGAACGAAGAATGATTAGTGTGGAAACAAAAAAACAATGAAGTATGAGACGATTGACTGATATTTTCACAAGTAACAGTCAAGTTTACGACAATTGATTGACATTTTGCAAATGAAGTATATACAATATGGGTCTCAGATTTTACGAAGATATTCTGTAATTCGACTGTCCCCATTTGTATTCTCGTTTACTACAGTAATATAATTTGTCAGATAACAAAAATAAAGTCAAGTATTTGCGAAACGTTTTATACTGTATTCTTTGAGTTGAAAAGTTTGATTCAATCACTTCGTAATACTTCAACACAGAAGCATGATAATAACAATCTCGCTGATACATATTAAGAATTAAAAAGCATAAACACATGGTTGATATCTTCATTTGGAAAATATTCCGAACACTTAGATGATATAAACGATAATCATGGATATGATATAATTTATTCGCTACTGAGTAGTTTGTAGAATATTCTATGTTAGAATCATAAAAGATCCATAGGTTACTGCTTGAGCATCTGGGCTACCTGTTCCTGCCATCTAGATATTTCAACAAGTTATCTATTGTTGTTTGTTTTAATATATCATTATGTTTATTAATCGCATAACCTATTCTGCTGCGTTTCTGAAAAGTGTACAACCTTTCGTTGTCAAAGTTACAGAAAACTCAATAAGAGACTATATGGTTGCTGGCAATGTACAACGAAAAGAATGTACATTATTCAGTTATTCATTCACTGAAGTGCTAACATCTAACTGGCGATTCCTCAATATTTATCGCCAGGACCGACCAAGAAGAAAGAAACGGAAACTTGTTGAAATACTTTGCGCTGAGAATTCTATATTGTACCAAAATTATAATATTGAATAAAGCTAATAATAATAATAATAATAATAATAATAATAATAATAATAATAATAATAATAATAATAAAAGATCCATAGGTTACTGCTTAGTTGTTGTAAACGATTTCATTAGTGAAGAACCGTATGTATAGGGTTTAGTTTCTTTCATTATAACTATAGAGGATATAGTTCCGGACTTTATAAAATAGATGAATTTATGAGTAGTAATGAGATCCAGAACGTAAGTTTTGTCCTATTTAGGATTTGTCAGTTGGATGTACCTGAGTTTCAAGTTTCATTTTAAATTTTCATATTGTCCTTATTTCTGAGATGCAAGTACATCCAGCTGACAAGTCCTAAATAAGACGACATGCGCATTCTGGATTCCACTGCTAACAACCATCCATCTCTGCTTATAATGTCTTTCTTTCTGTTTGTTATTTTAGTTGGAAATTGTGATGATGAACGTGTCAGTTGTACTCATGGTTGCGAACATAATGCAAGAAATCAATTTTTTTGTCATAGAAGTTGTCTAGTTCCAGGACAGACTTGTGGTAAGCTTTGTTGTAACAAGATCTTATCAAGTTTTCACGTTAACTGACATTGTGATATGTAGAGTATTTCTTAATATACAGTGAATAAACTTTCAGTTACTGGCCATCATTATATTACTCATTAGAACTGCATTTAAGATATCCAGATTTGGTTAAAATGAGTCCCAATACTTGTCAGAAAGGGGATAGTATTGTCACTGTTAATTATTTACCAATGAAAATTTTCAAGAATGGACTAACGGAAATCCACTCATTTCAGTAAAACAAGAATAACAATGGTAGTAGAGTATTTCAAATTCATCATTTATTTCATGCATTCTATTCATCTACCTATAACCCAACAATTATAATGTTAACTAGTATAGAAGGTCGCCCTAACACCTATACATCCAGAGTTCAATTCCGGATGGAGCAGTGAATGCTCAAATCTAAATCACATAATAAAACTAAATAGGTTTTCAGTGCTTTATTCTTTTAAATATCTGTTCACTTAAAGTCAATCTATGATATAACCTATAATACTAATTGCTAATTACAACTATATATATACCTTAAATAGAGTATACACAAAAATCTTGATTAGGCTTGATGTTGACATGAACTTGGAATAATGAAAGTAGTGAATATAGGAAAACCAAAGAAATCGTCCATGCGAATAGTTATACGAATCTTCTAGACAAGAACACAGAAGTAATTGCACATAGGATTCTAAAAGTGGAAAATTAATGTCATACTTTACATAATACAAGATAAATAAATGACTTATTAAAGTTTGCAAAATAAGCAAGAAACAGGAAAAAAATTTTTATAATTTAGAGTATGAACGGCGATAATACGTAATTGATGGTTGAGATTAAGATTATCGGGGCAAAGTACGATTGATTAGTATCATTTTGAACGAATAATTTAGGTTCAAATTTCTTTATGATGATGGCTTCAGTAATGCTTAACATTGTTGAATTCATTCACTTTGTGAGTTATTTTGAACCAATTTGAAACATTAATGATATAAATCACAATCACACAGACAATGTTGCATTATACATAAAAAATATCATGATAGTGGACTATTCTCTGATATGTCAACAAATACAGTCAAACTGACAATGATGGCAAATAATGCAAATAAAGCCGAATAACTTTAGCCTCGTTTTTCACACTACTTTTAAAATAAAGTAGTTTGTCAATAAAATAAAAAACATTACAACAAGCTTGTGATTAATGATCCATTCTACTGAATTGGTTGATACGATGTTCGTCAAAACACACAGATGTTGATTAGAAAAAAGAGAACACAGTTACGCAATAGGTTGCGTTATTCTATTGGTTCATCATGGTTATTCGCACCATTCCAAATAGATATTTGCTGAATTCATGGTAAATGTATGATGTCGTATAATAAATAAATGCATTTTACCATCAAATTGTAGGTAACATTATTCATGATTCGTGTAAATTTCATCCAAATTATTATGGTACATGGGATTTAATTGAACCGAGTTCAATTCAAGAATCAGTGGGATATGAACATCCAAGTAGTCGTTTAATGGCTCAGTTTTTCATTAAAAATGACAAATTAATTATATCTTCAGTAACTGGTATATCGTATACTATGGATTTGTATTGTGTTAAGGAGATACAAGAATCCTTATATGATCGTTATATTCTACGAAGTGATTATCAAACAAACGGATGGTAAGTTGAAGTAAACTTGATGAATTTCAAATGACTTTCTATTTACTATAAAACCTAGATTTAGTTAGATAGTTTTCAAGATATTTGAAAGTTGGAGAAAATTGTAGCTTTGGCTTTGAAATTCGTCTGTAGTAGTGTTGTGTTTTCTGAGCTAGGATGTATGAAAAATAGATTGGGAAAATAATTAACACACGTTACAACAGTTCAACGTTAATGATCAACACACTTTAGAGAGAAATAGAGCAAGAAGAACGTACTGTCAGGAGAGCTTTTGGGGAAAACTTATTGGAATGACACTGGAAGAACTGCATTATATTCAATTTCACCCATCTATATAACGATTAAATTCAGTGGTTAATATTTATAGGGATAATTAAACTGACAAGTCTCCATTTTAATCCAAAATCATAAGGGATTATTACAATTACATTTTTTTGTTGAAACGAAGAGAGACTGAAGATCCTGAGTTCAGGTTCCCACCTGTGGAGTCGTAAATGCACAATGCTAAGGAGTCCGGTACTAAAATAAAATAGATATCCAATGGTTTCAAGTTTACAATGGTATTCTGAAAGTAATGAGTTCATGGTTTCAGTAAAAATAAACTTAGGTTATACTGAATAAAATCTAACGAGGCGGGATCGTAAATGAGTATCTCTGAGGAGTCGCATACTAGGACAAAACGGCCGTCCAGTACTTTCAGGTTTTCCATGAAATCGACTCATGATCTCAACTATTAAATTACTATAATATCCACAAAAACCCTTTTCTGATATTAATCAACATGTGCTTACTGATGACTAGCTTCAAGAGGTATTTCCTGGAGTTCTAGTGAGCAGCAGTGACCAGTGGAGTTAAACCGAGTCTGTTGTGTGATAGTAACTCATTGAAGACTATGATGAATATGTCGCTCAATTTCATGGATTGGTTGAAGTTAGACATTAATATCGTTGGATGCCATCTCAATGGTCTAGAGATTAGGCATTCGCGCACGAGACTGATTGATCCTAGGTTCAGATCCCTCAAGGCAGTGTTGTGGATAGACACTTCTGAGGAGTGCCACAATAGGACGAAATGGCCATCCAGTGCTTCCATATTTTCCATAGTGGTCTAACTTAAATTGACTCATGATCTCAACGATTAAATTACTAAAATATCCACACACAAAAACCTTTTCTGTTATTGACTTCAATTTAAATGAATAGAAATCACATTGAATGAAAATTACATCTAAAATCAATACATGATTATCCACTTAGTTTCTTCCCATTAAATTACAGTTGGTGACATTAAAATCAGTGGTATATATCTTCTTTGTGAAAATATAATTATTGTCTAATGATTAAGTATTATTACGTAACAGTAGTCTTGTTACCTAAGAAAATAAATGAATGAAATAAATTAACATAAATTTAAATAATACAAAGGAAACAATTTAAATAGTTGGCAAAATGCAAAGGTTAGATGCCGGCTCAGTGGTCTAGTTGGTTAAGCGCCTGGAGCGAGACTGAAAGGTACTGGGTTTGGGTCTTTCGGGGTGCGGGATCGTGGATGCTCACTGCTGAGAAGTCCCAAACTAGGAAGAAACGGCCGTCCAGTGCTTCCAGGTTTTCTATAGTGATCTAGCTTCAATTGACTCATGATTTCAAACAAGTTTGATCGTGTTAACGTTAAATGTAAAGACATTTATCTTTGTTTTGGTGTAGATTTGACTGAGTATGAAAAGATATGATGTTTGTAATATATGGAATTAGATATTGACATGATCAGGCTTGTTTTAATTGTACTTACTAGATTTGGAAATGATAGTTATCATGTTAAGTAGTTAGAAATAAATGAAATAACAATGAGGAATTGATCTATAAGGTTATCAATTCATTCTTTAATGTTCTATGAATGTTTTTTGTAATCAGCATTTCCGGGTATTTTCCCTTTCATTTCACAAGTGTCCATTTCACTAAAAATATTATTTCATGCATCTTAAGTTATCCACATTTGTTTACTATTTATTATTTATTTATTTGAAAACATAAATATTGGTACAAAGGGGCACCGAATACATATGCACCACACAAGTCACTTGATTTGTATGTGGGCTATGATACTTCCTGGGTGCCCAAACTGTAGCAGATGGTTTTCTTAGGGGATCATATCCGGAGCCTTCAACCTAAAGGTCTGATCGGTAAGAAAAAGGAACAGCATCAGGAGATGCAGTCCCATATTAGCCGATGACTGACGATTGGGTGATATGCCACTTACTCCTTTAGGATACTGGAGCTCATGTACACCATTGGTTTGAAATCAGGGTTTTCCAACTCCCCTTAGATGGACCCTCCAATCTACTAACCCGGTTAAAGTGCCAGACATTTGCTTTTTGTTCTCTCAGTTTCGTAAACAACACCCCTTCTGAGAAAAGATAGTGAGTAGGACTTCCTTGGTAGTGGTTGTATACGTGTGGCAATGGGAGAGTATTTCGAGAGAGAGAACTGACTTTCACCTGTACCAGAGCATTTGGAGGCACTTCAGTTTAGCTTATCTCCATAGTCTTTATAAAGAACATAAACGTTTTGAAATGTAGAATTTGAAATGAAATTTCCCGTGAAAGTTACATTCTTACATGCAGTAATTTGCAACTAAATGAATGGAAAAAATGTTGAAAATTGATGGATACTGTACATTTATTGAACATCGAAAATCATAATACAATCATTTGAGAAAATATAGGCAAAAGAAAAATGCTGTAATGAACCCATGAAAGATAAAAGAAATAAATGTGATTACATTGTGGAGATAATTAGCAATATATCTGTTTAAATGAAATTTGATAGATTCAATAGTAACCATTCAGTTTATCTTACAAAACTATTTCGGGATGTATTATTCACTCTCAAACAAGGAGATTGAGCTCAGGTGCATCCACTCTTTGTGTTCTCCCAAACTCTAATCTTCTGAATTCTTCATGTTCCATTTTTTCTCTTTCCAAATTTATTTCACTAGATTATACTCCTTGAATAACATCTCCAAAGCCTAATCTTTCTGATTACTGCTTATACTTTTACTACCTCTACCAATATGGGATTTGAATCGATAATTGTATCTCTGTGATGTGGTAATGCAACTTGAACTGATGTACATACGTACGTGCGTATGTTCGTACGTACGTACGTAGTTCTACGTTGTTACTGACTGACTGACTGACTGACTGACTGATTCAATTTATTTTAACATTTATTTTAGTTATTCCAGAGATTTATGTTTAGAAATCTATCGTGGTAATAAAAATGATTTCGAAACATCATCAAATGTCAATGCAATACTTTATAGAATGTGTAAGTAATCGTTTTACATAGTACAATTATTTCATTCTGTTATTTATAATCTGACACCGATTCATTTACAATGACATTACTTCACGATATCATAAACTAGTTAAAGTTAGAAATTTGAACTATATTGTTTGGATGTTTAGTAAAGCTGTGTTGTATCCAGAGTAGTCGAATTATTATGTATGGTTTCAAATAAGATTAAATATGCTTCTTGGATTTCCCTATCAACTACATTTCATCTTTACTTAAGTGTGTTATGAAATAAAAAATCGGATTGATTGAGGTTAGACATGAACATCGTTGGATGCCGACTCAGTTGTTTAGAAGTTAAGCTTTCGGACGCGAAACTGAAGGTTCTGGGTTCGAATCTCGTGAGTGGGATCGTTGATGCGCACTGATGAGAAGCCCCACAACGAGACGAAACGACCATTCAGTGCTTCCAGGTTTCCAATGGTGGCCTAACATCAATCGGTTCATGATCTAAATTGAATAAAAAACAATAAATTAGTAATATTCTAGGGAGTAGAAAAATTAAATTTTCCGACGTTTCGCGACCTAATGTAAAAGTTATTCTAGAGAATAAAGTCATTTCAGTCACAGTCGATATATGCCATCAGGACTGGTAAATTGCAGTCCTAACATCATCAAAATACGTGTTTTGTCATTCGATTAATGTTTATCAAAATCCTATCAGGAGATTACTAATAATAAAAGAGAAAATTTTCTAAACAGTTAATTCGTCACTGAGTAATACCAATTCCTTCTTAGTGCTGATCAGTATCATGTCTACCTACTCATTGAGTGTTGATTGATTTCTATCAATCAAGTTGCGATATGACTAATAGTGGCGGGACTACAATTTATGGACGAACCAATCAGATTTAGGATAAGATGCCTTGGATTTTGGCCTCAAAATCCATTCATCCATTTGAATTAATAGCGTCTTTGCATTATAGGTGACGTCAGTTCATGATGAAAACCCTAAATCTAACTCCTAATCCAATCATAATTCTAATTCCTCGTATTGGTCTATAACCCTCGTCTATCATTAGTTAGTGAGTGGACATGTTCAAGGTTACCTTAGAGTCACTCGAAGGTCGTCCATCAATTATAGTCTCACCGATATACGTTTCATACGTTTTGGGATTCCTCTTATAATTTTAAACTGATTACTTTAATAAACACCAGATAGTTTTTTTTAGAAAGGGATCATACATGGGTGTCTGTTGATTTATGTGTGAAATTAAGCAAATGATGACAAGAAAGCGCATTTACCAATTTTTCAAAATATTCTTAATAAGTCTTCTGAATGAACACTAGATTCGGTTCCTAAGCTCTTCTAGCAACCACCAGGCTAAATCTACACAGCGATTTGAACACGAGAGAAAAGGCGTGAAATATGTAAGAAACGCTTGACTCTAAGTTTCGTTTATGTACAGAAAATCTAAGGTTTTGTGGCATTTTGGATGGCCTTGAGTTTCCAGAAAACTCTGGAACGCTACTGGACAAGTTAGCAGTATAGGTAATCATACAGTTAAAAACGTGACATGTAACGTTTTACTTTCTAGATGTTTCTGTAAAAATATCTCTTGAATGCTGATTGGATAAAATGTTTCTTAGCGTTTACAGAGCCTTTTTGGGGGTTTTTTTCGAGAAATTTTCCGGATCACCTCAACAAACTTTTGTGAATCTTGATTATGCGTAACTGAAAACACAAAAAAAGAAAATAACTAACTAAAATAGAAATTACTTTGATATTGTTTACTTGAATCTTCTCATTGATGTTTAGGATTGCAAATGATCAGTCTCTTATTGGTATATATGCAAACTGTGGCTAACGCGATAGCGTTTGAAACGAACAGTACTATATTCGAGTCTCAGAGTGAACATCAATTCTGAGAAGCAAGTACATCCAGTTGATAAGTCCTAAATAGGACAAAACACGCGTCCTGGATCTCACTGCTAGCCACTATCCATCTTTGCTTACAACCAAAATATATTTTATTCATAGAAAGATTATCCTTTGAAAATCGTGACTAACCGACAGTCGATTGTTTTCGCTTTGCTCATATCTATGATCTAAGCAACAAAATGACAATTATTCATTGTTTGCTAACTGAATGAATTTACTACTAGACTACTAGATGTTAAACTACTTACTTTTGTATTCAACTGACTCATGATCTTAACTATTGAAATTACTGTAATATCCACAAAAACCCTTTTCTGATATTAATCAACATATGCTCACTAGTGACTGGCTTCAAGAGGTATATCCTGGGGTTCTAGTGAGAAGTAGTGATCAGTGGAGTTCACCCAGGTCTGTTGTGAAATAGTAACTCACTGAAGACAATGGTGGATGTGACTCTCAGTTTTGTGGATTAGTTGAAGTTAGAAATTAACACTGTTAGATGCCGACCAGCTCAGTGGTCTAGTGATTAAGCGCTCGCGCGCGTGACCAGTAGGTCCTGGGTTCAAATTTCGCAGGGGGCAAGTTCGTGGATGCGCACTGCTGAGGAGCCCTACAATAGGACGAAACGGCCGTCGAGTGCTTCAAGGTTTTCCATGGTGGTCTAGCTTCAACTGACTCGTGATATTAACCATTAAGATTACTATAATATCCACAAAACCCATCTGATATTATTTAGGATATTGATGTAGTTTGAATGAAAGCGAAGTGTAAAAGCGACTCACTCTCTATATAAGTGTATATTATATAAAAGAATTTCTACGTTGTGTTAAAGTATAAAGTTTTATATAAAGCTGAATAGAAATCGTTTATTTTAGGTTTTACTGAAGTTAAATATTTATCTGATTTATTTGAATTAATTTCTTTAATGATATTCATTCATAGTTGTTTCTTAATATTCAAGCTGTCGGTGGTAAACATCTTTTAACTGATATATGTCAATTCAATAACGATAATCAATTATATGGTCGAACAATTTATCCATTAAGAGGAAATATATTAATACGAAATACAGCGGATAAAAGTAAGCTTTATTATGTATAAGTGTATCATTACAAAAAGAAGTATCATGTTTTCTGTGTGAGTATCTATTTTTAATTATCTTATAAACATTGAATTAACTATTGAATGCCTTTGAGAACACTTTGGAAAAGTTTTTAGAAGCTGAGAATAGCCTTAGTTCTATCATAGTGAATGAGAAAATAAGTGGGGACAATCGGATGTATTAAAATAAAGAATTACTGAACATCCTAGTAGAATCTGAGACTTATTTACTTACGTAATCCTATAACTTCCAATGGAGCATAGGCCGCCGACCAACCTACTCTCCAACCCACTCAGTCTTGGGACTTCCTTTCCAGTTCTATCCAATTTTCGTTCATTCTTCTCATGTCTGTCTCCATTTCTCGGCATAATGTGTTCTTTGCTATTCCTCTTCTCCTTTGGCCTTGAGGATTCCAAGTGACGGCTTGCCTTGTGACATAGTCGGATGATTTCCTTAATGTGTGTCCTATCCACTTCCAGTGCTTCTTCTCGATTTATTCCTTCGCTGGAATCTGGTTTGTTCCCCCCGCAATTGGTTGTTACTGATAGTGTCTGGCTAACGGATTTGAAGTATTTTGCGTAGACAACTGTTAATAAACACTTGTATCTTCTGGATGATGGCTTTCGTAGTTCTCTAAGTTTTCGCCTCATACAATAGAACTGTCTTGACATTTGTATTGAAAATTCTGACTTGGGTGTTGGTTGACAGTTGTTTCGAGTTTCAGATGTTCTTCAATTGTAGATGTGGTGCTCTTGCTTTGCCCATCCGCTCCTGAGAACCATACAGTAAATACTTGATTTGCAAAATGTCAATCAATTGTCTCAAACTTTATTGTTCCTCGATTTTTCGTTCTCTTTTCTTTGATCTTCTTAACTTTCTGCCTCTAAACATTTCACTTTCAATTGATTATACATACCATTTATATATGTGGACATCAGTAGCACATACCACATTATCAACATTAAATAGGATATTTCCAATGAGTTAAAAAAAAAGATAGATCTTTCGTGAAATTTTGGTTGGATAATTACCGATTTTGTCGCTAGTTTTCACGTTTTCAGAATATTTCAAACTACCAATTTCATTCATAAACTTATGAATATTCTTGTTTACTACAATTAAACTAATTTTGGAAGTATGCATACTTTCATGCTTTCTGCTATTTGTCTTCCAATCGGGTTTCAAATGTAGGATATTTCTAGGGAACTAAAATATGGTTAGAAGTTGTTGTTAAACGTGTAAGCACCAGATATAACAATAACAATGGATAATATGATAATGTTAACCATAAGTGTCTATTAGCTTAATATTTTACCAAATATCATTCACTGTTGTAACAATAGAATAATGCATAAATGAGTCAAACTATTCATTATAAAGAAGAATCAATTTAACCGAATAAACGATTTGTGGAAATTGGTGAAGAGTCTCGTACTGAGATAAAACAACTGTCTAGTACTTTTTTAATTTTTAGTTAAGCTTTAGCTAAGATCAACTAGTGAGTTAAATTATACAAATGTAATTTAGTTCATTTAACTAAGTATTTAATGATGTAAACACTCTTAACAATTCAAATGATCATTTAATTACTAGGGGTAATTAAAAGTAATATTTTAGTAACATTTAATGATTGCTAATGTTTATCATGACAACTAATCATTCACGTTTAATGAGAATTTCAATCATTGGAAAGAGACCATTAAGAATACAAAAAAGCAATTAGTTTACATTGTTGATAGATTAAAACAAGAGATACATAGAAAATTATCAGAAGGGGTTGTGTGGAGCGCTCGCGAGCGAGACTGATAGGTTCTGGGTTCGAATCTCATGGGAGGCGGGATCGTGGATGTTCACTGCTGAGGAGTCCCATAATAAGACGAAACGGCCGTCCAAAGCTTCTAGGTTTTCCATGGTAATCTGGCTTTAATTGACTCATGATTTCAACTATTGACATAAGAAATTAACATAATATAGAAATAAATTAAATATTGTGATAGTTGAGAGGTTTTGACTTGTTTTACTGACATATTAATTAACAGAAGAACTTCAAAGAATATAAAAATAGCACAGAATTAAAGCATATTACAAAACGATGAACATCCATCGAAATACTTTAATTCGCTTAATAGAAAAACTCCCTTTGATATTAACACAGAATCGTATCTGCAAATTAGGAAGTGCAGATTGTGACGCATTATGTATTGAAGAGTCATTTTGTGAAACCTTGATTGAATTAAAGAATATCTTATGTACACAAAGAAACCACCTAATAATCCCATAGAACTGGAAAGACTCCAAGTTAAATCAGCAATAGCAGTTCATGCCATTTTCAATAACCACCAAATCGATATTATAAACGTCGAAAGATTACAAAAAGCCTTTTCTGATTACAAAGAAAGGAGAGTAACTGAAACTTTCCATATAATACTTAATCCTAATGCTCTCGATAGAAAAGAAGGCCTCACTAACCATCCGATTTAGACCATCCATCCAACCTACCATGTCTGATATTATTCATACTTTACACTATTATTGTACGTACAAATTAAACAACTATCCTTTCTCACCACAAAGATCACATTTTTTCATCCCTGACCTTGCACACATACACACACACAACTTTGCATACATGTCCCTTATAATTCATTATGACCGAAATGACGTGACATTGATTTGTTCAAACCTGTTTTTTGATTGATCGCACCTAACATTCTTGCTTTGTTCCTTTGTACTATCTAAACATGGATCAATTTTGATTTGATTACTTATTCTCTGAAGAAGTGGCTTACACTGCGTCATGAAACGTCAGAAAATCTAATTTTTCTACTTATTGGGATATTACAAATATATTATGAGATAGTAACTCACTGAAGACAATAGTAGACGGTGATTCAATTTTGTGGATTGGTTGAAGTTAGACATTAACATCGTTGGATGTTGGTTCAGTGGTCTAGAGATTAGGCGTTTGCATACGAGACCGATAGGTCTTGGGTTGTGGATGCTCACTGATGAGGAGTCCCACAATAGAATGAAACGGCCGTCCAGTATTTCCAGATTTTCTATGGTAGTCTAACTTCGGTTGACTCATGATCTCAACTATTGAAATTACTACAATCTCCACAAAACCCCTTCTAATACAAATATGTTACTTTTTATTTATGACATTAATTATTATTTACATTTATTAGTTAAATGTAGACTAACATAATCATATACTTTCCTTTATAATTTCATAAAAAAATGTTTCTGTTTTTTGGGGGTTGGGGGGGGAACTTTTATGATAATAAATTAAAGTACTAATTTGATATTGTACATTTCAATGTCCTGGGTTCGACTCTCGTGGGGGGGGCGGGATCGTGGATGAGCACTGCTGGGGAGTCCCATACTAGGAAGAAACGGCCGTCCAGTGCTTCCAGGTTTTCCATGGTGATCTAGCTTCAATTGACTCATGATTTCAACCAGTGAAATTAATAAAATATTAGGAAGATAACTTCATGTTCAAATGTCCTAATCAATGTGATTGATATATAACGTTCATTTATGTTCTATTTTCAATGGATCTGATTAAAAAAAGAATGAACTTTATTAGAATATTATAGTTAATCTAGATACTGATTGAATTGTAGAGAACTATATAACTAATAGAAAATTTAGAATTATGACGAAAACATTGGTGTTTTATGTACTAATGTGTTAGGATCACTGTTATCAGAATGTCATAAAAATTGTTCCCTATTCTGATATGATTTATATATATACCGTACACTTCATGATATTACACATGGTCTTAGCTTAGAGAGTTGAGAAGCGATGACGGTTTAGTGATCTAGAGGTTGGGTATTCGTATACGAAACCAAAGGTTCTGTGTTTCGAATACTATTTGCTAACAACATACTTCAAGATATTGTCTTAATTGTTCCACGTAACTCATCTTATTCAATCTAGAGCCTAAAATGTTTGTATATATTTATACAATTTTATGAAAATAATTTTCATCAATAAGGTTTTGTGAAGATTTCTAAGTGTTATTGAGATCATTAACTGAAACATGTTCGTTTTATAGTATCGCGAACTGATTGAAGTTAGACATGTAAACGATAAGATGATGGCTAAGCTGTTTAAAATTAAAGTGTTTTTAATATGATTTAAAGATCCTTGGTCAATCTTCGATGAGACTGCGAATATGAATTACTGAGAAGTCTCATAGTAGAACGAAATAGCTGCCCAGTACCTCTTCATTTTCAGTGGTTAACAAACATAAATCAATTCGTGATTTTAATACAAATAATTTTATTCTTAAATTTTCAATTTTTTCCAGAATCTATCACTCCTACTGGTATTACTAAATGTGGACTATATCAAATACGTCTTACTGGTAAATTGTTTATTCTCAATACTGAACCAACACAGTTTGGTATTCAGGAAGATCTGTTTAATGTCACAAATAAACAATCGATTAATAATCGTTTGGGAAAAGATGATCATACAAATATCATGTCTCATATAAATGGAAAGTTATTAAATACATATGAAGCTAATGATGATAAAAGCTATCAAGGACCATGTTCAATAGAAATCAGTGATTTCAATCCAAATCTAGGTATCTCTGGTGAATTCGATAATACATTAAGAATTAGACATTATTGTGAATCTACCATTTATCCTAGTATATTTAAATCAGGTAATTAATAATATCATAAAGTAATTTATTTTTTATTGTTCTCTTTTAATTCATACTGGAAGTGTCGATTTACTCCTTGAGGTAGTTTGACGGTGTTCCTTTGAAATTTATATTCCTTTGAGAGTAACAGCATGGGAAAAAACTCAGTTTTCTTGATGTTTTACTGAGCAGAAAGATAAGTCAATCAGTAAAAGTGTGCATAGAAATAGTTCATCTATGTGTCAATAGGCATATCACTTTAGCTCCGAACTAATTCAGTACATGAAAACCTAATTTTTCTGCTTATGAGTGAAGATAGAAAGATATGCTGTCACAATAACGTAAATAAAGAATTAAGCTTCATTTTTGATATGCTCATTGAAATGTGCCACATAGGGAGTTTTTTAATGGAACATTTGTATACGGTTAAGAAGAAGTCAGATTCATGGATCGTTCGGAAGAAACAAATAGTAGTACAAGTAGTGATGTTTAACTTGATAAAGTAACTAGAGCTTTGAAAAGAAGCATTTCATGCATCAAATACTTGTTTTTCACTTTCTAACCGATCAGTGATGAGTGCACAACTAAACGACGAGTTTACAGCAACTCACGCGCAATGGAGTTAGTTCACATTTAATTCGGTTAAGTCATTTTGTTAACTTATTAACGAACTGAGTCATCCGTACAACAACAACTTATCTATATCATTGTATCTTTATTATTGTTGCGAATGTATGAACATGTATGCTTGAGCATTGCTTACTGCCTACGCATTTATTCACGCTGCTAGCCTTACTACTAACCGATTAATTGATTCGATGGTTCATTCATTTCACTATGTATATATATATGTCTACGTTATTTATGTTCAATGCTCTCTCTCTCGTTTATCTGTGCTCGCTTACTCGTACTCATATTCGCTGACTCGCTCGCTTGCCTGCCTGCCTTTCGGCAGGCTTGTTCAACGCCCCTGTAATTTTAGATAAGTGTGTGTGGTCCCATAATAAACGTAATCAACACTTTATATTCGCCTTTTGATTAATATAGCGTCGGAGAGTTATCTAGTGACGGTTATCAAGACGAATTCTATACGAAGTTTAAGGATTGTATGGAATACCGACCACCACATGTTAATTGGTTTTACCACTTCATTATATATTTATGAATTCGACTGCTCCTGTGGAGAGATCCATATCAGAAGTACTGTCCAGTGACTTAGCTAACAGAACTTATCGACTGAATGTATTCCCACCTGTTTTAATGTTCGCATCGGGACTCGAACCTATGCACTTTGTCTCAAACTTCTAATACCTTATCTACTGTACCAATAGGTCCATTATGCCACTCATTTGTTCATCCTGTGTAGTATTTATTATCATTATTAAAGTGTGTTTCGATTATCATTTTATAGAGAAGTAAAACTTAACTTTTTCATTGAATATCATCTTTTAACTTCTTCTTTACAGATCATCAATGTATTGCATCGTTTAATATTGATGGAATTTCAACTATTTCCTCATCTTATTTCTTACTTATCACATATCTTAAAATTACAGATCAGTATTATTGTCTAGTAAGCGAAATCTATTTATTGCTATTTCATCATACTACATACAATAAATAAGGATATGTTGATCTGTTTATTTACTTTACTCTTATTTATGCAAATAGCTTTGCCGGATAATGAGAGTTTTCACAGGATGCATTATTATAAAACGATAGTAGGACTGAGGATAGAGATTTTGACCGAATACTTTGTGCTATACAATGACTAGATCATGCCTTACTGGATATACGATTCACTGAAGAAAATAGAGAACCATAGTGTAGACTGGACAATACTTCGTACAACATCATTACAAGCAGTTTACATTCAGCACGTTTAACGTAGAAATCAATGCCAGGAAAGGAAATCACATTTTGATGGAGTTTTGTTCTCTGAGCTGGATGGTTTGTCGTGGAGCTTTCATCGTTCTTCTGAACGACATCATCAGTATAAACTTCAGGTAGAAGCTCCACGACAAACCATCCAGTTTAGTGAACAAAACTCTATCAAAATCGTCCACCTGAGCTATAAATCTTCTCTACCATCTCAAGAAAATCACACAGTTAATAGCATCTATTTGTCCATGCACAGTGGCTAATCGCATTTTCTTCAAGTTATTGCAGTAAGAAAATTTAAATACTGAAATTCGGTGGTTATTTAACTAAGGTTATTTGAATCACTATAAACTACAATATAATATTCGTGAATCTTTTATTGTCTTTCTAGACAGGATTGTCTAACGATTGTACTAATGATGTTGTCTAGAAAGACAGTTAATGCTTCATAATTAAACTAACTATCTAAATAAAAGAACACAAATTCAACAAATAATCGTGACTATCTTCAAGAGGTATTTCTTGGAGTTCTAGTGAGAAACAGTGGAGTTCAACCGGGTTTTTTGTGTGATAATAACTCACTGACGACAATAATGAACGTGTTTCTCAATTTCGTGGATTGGCTGAAGTTGGACATTAACACCGTTGGATCACGGCTGGCTCACTGGTCTAGTGGTTAGGCGCTTGCACGTGAGACTGATAGGTTCTTGGTTCGGATCTCGCGAGGCAAGATCGTAGATGCTCACTGTCCCACAATAGAATGAAACGGCCATCGGGTGCTTCCAGGTTTTCCATAGTGTTCTGGCTTCAACTGACTCATGAATTCAACCATAATATAATTTCTTGTAAATTCTATCAAAAACAGTTTACTAGTATGTCCTTAATGAATATGTATTTTTCTCCTAGATCATTCAAATCAACAGAAATAATGATGATATGAATAATAATAATGGTAATAATCATAGCAATCAGAATTACACAATCTTTATGTATCATTCACCTCAGTGTCAATATGAAACTACACCATTTGAAGCTATTAAATTAGATGAAAATAAAGCATTTGCAAAATTATTACTCACTTCAAGTAAGTTCATTTCTACATATTCAATAAATAAATTGTAATATAAAATCTATGAATAGGTTTACTGTATAACAGTTAGCTCTGTAAACATAGTCTGTGAAAGTATAAGATATGGATAAACTGATTATAGATATCTTGGAAACATTTATCGGGCATCATGGACTAATCAAGTGGGTAGTGTTGAAGATACGCTTACGGTACTTGGAAAAGGTGATGAATTGATTAACGGTTATGAATATTTCTTGACTGAGATGGGGAAAGTTAACTAGTGTAAGAGTAAGTTAGAAGAAAGTTAGGTGCAGTCAAACTAAGATGATGCGGTTCAAGTGATAATTGTGTTTAGAGACTTTTAATGATATGATTCGTAATCTTTCTCAGATGATTATATATGCTCACTCTATATCTTCTTCAATATTATGAATCCCGAAATCCCTTCATATATAGCTTTTTTTATCCTATCTTTTTGGATCATATTTTGAATGTTCAGTATTTTTCATTGTCACTACTGCTACATCATTCCGATTCCTTTGGTATTAACATTTTTAAATTCATTTTGTCGTGCTAATGTGGTAGTAGAACTTAGGCTAATAAACATATTTGTCGAAGAAATTCTGACGTATTTCACAATGAAGTCGTGACCGATTTCAAGTTATCTTTGTGCAATATGCGATAATTTTATCAATTACAAACCAGCCATTACATTTAAGCTAAATAAATATAGTTGAATTCATGAGTCAGTTAGAACGAAACGGCCGTCATTGGTGTATTGCAGTGCTTCCAGATTTTCCATGATGGTCTAGCTTTAATTGACTCATGAATTCAATTATTAAATTACTACAATCTCCACGAAATCCCCTTCTGTTAATAAATATGTTAAGCACCTACTCAGTTTCCAGTTTAAGTAATAAGATTATCAACTAAACGTTTTGTCTACCAAACTTATTGTTAAACATAGAATGAATTTTCATTAAGCTATAAGCATCTCATACATTAGTAAGTTAGACATATAATTAGAATCTGTTCAGAATAGAATCATCAGTGAGAAGATTCAAACAAACAATTCAAAATTAATTTAAACTTCACCTCATTGAACAAGCAAGTGGTTATTAGGATTCAGTAGATAGGTGGATATAACGATGCCGTTTGAAGTGAACGGTACTGGGTTCGAGTCTCTGAGTGAACATCAACTCTAGGATGCAAGTACGTCCAACTGAAGAGTCCCAAATAGAACGAAACGGGTGTCTTGGATTCCACATCTAGCCACTATCCATTTCTGCTTAGAATGATCGTGATTTGAGGCAATGTCAAGGTAATCCCCACAGGACGCACATATGCCGATAAGAGACTGATGAATCGATGGGAATATTCAGCTAAACAATACAGAATGAACTGAATAGTTTTCGTTGTACATTAACTCTGATTTTCTGTAGACAGAATTTTATGGTCCTTTCGCCTTATCTAATGAAATTAGATTGTTGAAAATACCTAGCAATTTGAATATAATGTACATATTGAACTACTCCCGTTCACAGTCTATGGTTTCTAACAATTTTACCGGGCTGTTGATTAGCATCAAGTCATAGATATATATAAAGGTACGTATTGTCCTTTTGTAAACCTTTGAGAAACCATTCAGTGGTAGTAAGTGCGACTCAAGATATCGAATATTTTCCTACGTTGATGCTCAAACGGATTTTTCGGTTTGATCTTTGCCGATTATATCAGATCTTTGAAGACTGTAGAATTTCGTCTGCTTATTTAATACATATCTGATTTTATTAATGTAGTTAATCTTTATTTAAACTTCCGATCTTCAATCTTTCGTCTTATTCAATACTTAATAATTTCTTTTATGATTTGAAATTCTAGTCATTACTATACTAAATAATTTCTGTTACGTGTATGTTCATTACAATGACGAATCGATGTCATTTCGAATCTTTACAATTTGTACATTTACACGGTCTCTGTCTATCAACTCATAGTTCAAAGATTCTCAAAAAAACGTTTAACACGTTAGTGGTCCGATATCTGACTCCGATAAAAATGATTGTTATGATGATTGTTATTGAAATATTTATTTCCGCTATCCTCGTATATAATCATCGACTTAAATTGTATTAGTGAATAACGGAATTAAATAATCAAAGAGGGGTTTTATGGAGATTGTAGTGATTCAATAATTGAAATCTTGAGCCAATTAAAGCTAGACCACCATGGAAAACCTGGAGTTAGATATTAACTCCGTTAAATGCCGGCTTAGTGGTCTAAAGGTTAAGCTTTCGCTCGTGAGACTGATGGATCATGGGTTCAAATCTCACTGGGCGGGGTCGTGGATGTGCTCTGCTGAGTCACATACTAGGATAAAACGTCCGTCTAGTGCTTCCAAGTTTTCCATGATGGTCTAGCTTTAATTGACTCATGAATTCAATAACGGAATTCAATAAGTCAATTTGAAATATATATATTTCATACACTCAGTGATTTGAACAAACGGAGCAAAGAGGAAAGAGCGAATTGGAGAAGTCAAGTGAGCCAACTCCATTTAATCAATCATTAATCAATATTTATATTCAGGTAAAAATAAGCTACAGACATATGACGAGTAAGCTAAAAAGTGCATACACATACGCTCACATAAAAACAGTCAATGCTGATAAACGAATAATTGACAAGGTCAAAATGTGACTCAAAAAGAATGAATAAATTGTTTTGTCCAGAAGCTAGAATAACCTATGTATACTTCACATAGTAACCGACACTACAATGTCTAGTGATAGAATTTCTTATTGTAGCTTTTTCAAACTTACATAAGAAATATTATAAGTATATTTATTACAACTATTATCTGTTCTTCCAAATAACTGAATTCCTCCCTTGTTCCTATTGTGGTGTGTGCTACTTATATTGACATAAGTAGTATAGGATGTTAGTCGTGAACAGAAGGTGTGGAAGCAGAGAGACAAGAGGATCGAACAGTAAAGAATGGAAGCAGGATGCAATTTGTATGAAAATGCAGGAACAATGAAGTCTGAGTCATTTTGAGACAATTGGTGGACATTTTGCAAATTAAGCATTTACTTTATGAATGTTAGATTTTATTAACAAATCCTGTAAGTTTGAGCTAAATACATTCGATTGTCCCCATTCGTGTTCTGTTCACTACAATTATCACTGCTCCAACGTAATCTATGTATCTTTGAATGTCTTAAATGAATGACTTAAATGAATGAATCTTCAAGTTTTACATTGTATTATGATACAATGGTTGAATATCTCAAACCTGAGTAAGTGGTCATATGACTTAAGTAAACTAAACAGCAGTTATTTCGAGTATTCAGAAGAACTTTTTGAGTGATCAATCACATTTTTTAGTATCTTTCTACGCAGACGATTTGTCATTAGGTAGACCAATATGACTTTTTCTGATTGCTATTCTTGATAGTTGACTAACAATTCCAGCAAAATGAAGTAGATTGAATGCATGACATTTACATTATAGAGTTTATATTAATGAATTTCAAATATATAATCTGTTTGGAGAGTATATCACAGAAATTCTAGGTTATAGTGTAGTGAACGAGAACACCAGTGAGGACAATCGAATATATTCGAATACAAAATAACAGAATCTCTAAGTAAAATCTGAGATCCATACATTAAATGCTTCATTTGCAAAATGTCAATCAACTGTCTCAGACTTCATTGTTCTTTCAATCATTCTTTGTTCTTGTTCTCTGTTCTTTGATCTTATTAACTCTTTGCTGTCAGGTATTTCACTTTTGTTTGATGATATATGTTACTTATATCTGTCGGCATCAGTAGCACACACCACAATAGTGTTAAAAAAATAATAAACGTTTAATCTAACAGATGATAATTACAGTAAACTGAAAGAGGAGGATACCTATGACTTGAGTAAATTGAATAAATTCAACAAATCATAAATTTTATAGTTAAATAAATTGGTTAACAAAAGAAGATGCATTTGAACATTGGAAGAGATTCAAAACACTTAAATCAATCTCATATTTATATCAAGTCATGAAAGGTAAAAAAAACACAATACTTGCTTAATGTTTCTTTTTCTCTGAAGATGATAGTCCTCCTATTTTGTATAAATGAAAGCTTTCAAGACTTGTTTGAAGGACAGTCTATCAATTATGTATTCAACCTTAGTTATTGCTTATCGTTAAGTCAATGTAATTTAGAAAATTCTCCTGGATTATAAATAATCTAGAGCCAGACACATATGTGCGTTAACTCAAGTTACCATATCACATTAGTGAAAAGAAATTAAATTAACAAGATGAATAGTCAAGCTGTCAAAATAATCAGAAAGTGTTATATCCTGAAAGTTGATATACCGCGTATAACAGAGCACTAGAACACCAAAACCCTTCCAAGTCGATATAAGAAGACGGAAGATTAATGGAAGGAATATTATTCCAAACAGTGTCAATCATAGTACAAAATTGTCAGGTATTTATAGTTTTTAGTGAGAACGAAATCATCATTACAGTCCTCCAATCCGGACACAGGGGGGTATTAGCATTGTCCAAACGGGAAGCTACACATTGAAATTCTAGAATATTCTTCCGAAAGGTGATTAGATGAAACGTCTTTGGCTCCTTCTGAGCCTCTTACCGCTTCCTCAAGTTCACCGGTGGTCCGTCGTGACAGAAAGATTAAACATAGAGAATCTGGTTCGAAAAGACGGAATACAAGGTGATAATGAGTTGGATGACATGGTGTGAAATGCAATGTATATTTCTGACAGATCTAACACATATCAGCAACCATATCAGTTTTGGATAATGGCTAGTCAAATTCAAATCAATAACTTTTATTATCCCCCACTATTAAATCATAAACCAATCTATCAACAATTTCACTGATAACAACTATGTCATTATCCTATTTTATCGTTTTAAATAAATAATATATTTGTAATATCCCAATAAGTAGAAAAATTAGATTTTCTGACGTTTCATGACTCAGTGTAAGCCACTTCTTCAGAGAATAAGTAATCAAATCAAAATTGATCCATGTTTAGATAGTACAAAGGAACAAAGCAAGAATGTTAGGTGCGATCAATCAAAAAACAGGTTTGAACAAATCAATGTCACGTCATTTCGGTCATAATGAATTATAAGGGACATGTATGCAAAGTTGCGTGTGTGTGTATGTATGCACTGTTCCGTTGTACCATTTAAAATTGAATTTATTATGATTTGGTTATTTTTTCTCCGAAGAAGTGGCATACACTGAGTTGCGAAACATCCGGAAATCTAATTTTTCTATGCATTAGGATATCTATAAACACTCTATTTTTATTTTTAACAATCTAATCAATGCTCAGTCTATTCGAAATTATTGATTGAGATCTTGAACCGATTGATGTTAGATCATCATTGAAAATCTGGGAGCACTGGACGGCCGATTCGTCCCATGTGGGAGTCCTCAGAAGTGAGCACCGACGGGGTTCGAACCTAGGGTCTTCAGTCTCGCAAGTGAACGCTTAACCTACTAGACCACTGAGCCGGCATCCAACGATGTTCATGTCTAACCTCAACGAATCCGCGAAATTGCGCGACTATCTTCCATTATACTGAAGTAGATACCTGTCTCTACTCGACACGGATTAACTCCACTGGTCACGGCTTCTCACTAGAACTCTGAGGATTTCCTCACGAAGCTAGTCATTAGTGAGCACATGGTAATTATCAGTATATGGTTGTGGAGATTATTAAATTATTGATTGAGATATTAAATCGTGGATGCACACTGTTGAGGAGTCCTGCAATAGGACGAAACGGTCGTCCAGTGCTTCCAGGTTTTCAACAGTGGTCTTACACCATTCGGTTCATGATCTAAATCAATAACTTAATAATCTCTACCACCCCATACTGAATATTCGAAATTATTAAGTCGAACCTTGGTAACAATACATTTCATATTGTTTCTTTTGTTTTGTTTTTTTATTATTTTCAGCACAAAAACAAAATGACAATTCTACAAGTGGTAGTAGTAGTAGTAATAGTAATACTATTATAACTCCAATATTGAAACCATTCAATAAAAGTTTCTATTTATCAACTAATAAATTAACAAGACCAATTCAACAATACACAACAATTCATAATGATTATCAACAACAAAATTTGACACGTTTTAAAGCGTTACGTTTTCTATCGAAACCAATTAAAAAAACGCGAAGTTTCTTTATCATCAATAATCAATCTTTATCAATCTATTCAACTATTTCTTCTTATAATTATTTATTACTATTTTTAATTATATTTAGAATTTATTGTTAAATTCAAAATCCTCAATTTCTCATCTTTCTCAGTGTGTACTACTATCAAATATTATCAGTAGTATTAGTATTAGTAGTAGTATTGAGTAATAATAAATATGTGGTTGTACAGTATACATGAAATGATATAATGGATACGATTAGTATCGTTGAAACTATTCAAATCAGCTTAATTCAAGGATGAATACATTGCGAGAGAAAAAAGTAATAGAGCCTTACACACAAAAGAGAGAAAACGAACAAACAACCAACCAGCAAGAGAGAAAATTTTTTTTCAGAAATAGATCTTTGTTGAAACCAGGATGATTAAGCGAGTTCAATGGAGTTCCTTTTTCTTCTTTTTATAAAATTAACTTTTCTTACAGATTTTATGTTTGTTGCCTAGATTGTTCTCTTTCCATATTATTGGTTCTTCTGTTGTTAAGTGATTTTTTTCTTATTTTTAAAATAAGATTTTCTTTCATGTTTTGTGTAATTTTGAGTGAATCAAACTTCCATTATGTTCAGATATTCATTGTAAGTAATTAAAACAAACGAGTGTATATATTGTATAACAACTGTTTATAGTGGTATATTTGGTCTAGTCATCAGGGAACTAATTAGGTGATAATAATAAATGATGACCAATTTCCTAAATAAAATTTACAATGATAAATATGAATAACTAAGAGTTTATAATTTGCCATTGTTGATTGATATTCAGATTTTCACTTGACTAGTATCTGTTGCTATATATGCATTGTGAGTGAACTTGTTCACAAGTTATTCTCTGTCTGAACTCAGGAGCGTAGTCGATGAATGGCGTGGTAAGCGTTTGAAGCAAAGTGTACTGGATTCGAGTCTTAATATGAATATTAACCACTGGTATAGACGTACAACAGTCTGACGAGGTAAATATGGGACGAAACGCGCATTTTGAGTCTTAATAATAACCACAAACTAAATGCATCAAAATTAATATAAATCATCACATATAGAAAACGGTGACAATACTAATCACAAAAAAAAGCATGTTCAGTAGGTCGTCATCTCATACCGTCAACAGATCCATTTGCTACAATAGATGCTGGTGGCAGGTCTTACGAATACGTAAAGTGTCTACACAAATTCATCTGTCAGGCTTCATTGTAGGCATTTACTCATTTAGACGTTTGTACAAAAGCGTCCTAAGAATATGTTATTATTATCAGCCGATGCAAATTGTGTAAACGGTTTATGGAAGATCTACATTTGGAGAGACGTGAACTGTCATGTTAACATTCGATCGGTTAGAATTGAATGGAAATAAGTCCTATCAAATAAAGGCTACTAAAAACTTGATAAGCATCTCGTTCTCTTTAAATTTGCATCACTAACATTACGATCCATCCTATAGTTTGTGGATGTAGATAAAGCCTGAATTTTATAGAAGTTTATGCCATATAATTCTTTTTTTTAGTCGAACAACTGCTTGTCAGTGATAACAACAGATATGAACTCGATCACTTACTAATCTGTCACTTTGTGAAGCAAATTAAAACTGCCATGCGAAAATTTCATCTTTTGGTCAACTGAAACATTGCACATCATGTTCAAATTAGTGTCTTGTAGCAGTTAAAGTGTATGATATTCGAGTAAATCCAGGCTGCACTGAGGTCATATTAAGCAAGAGTATTGCGTATTGAAAACAAGATACGACTGATCCATTTTGTTGCCCATATGAATCATTGAAAAAAGTTGATCACAGTGAGTCAATTCAGGCAATATAAATGATAATGTCTGAAGAATCATAGAAGACAATTACCAACAAAAACTCGTCACTGAAATTTAGGAAGCTACAGGATAGAAAATACAGTCAAACATATAACTATTTAGGCTACGAGTGGTTTGAGACTATTCAGAACACCATAAGGATTGGTCACACTAGAAAATAAATTGTTTCTTAACAGCCAACTGGCTGTTAAAAATATTTTATTTTCAACTCGAATAAATGCTGAATGGAGAATTATGGACAAACGATTCAGTTGCAACAAAAGAATACATAACGATGACAAAAACACTATATGAAGTGTTAACCACAAACTAATCTTCATTATTACAGTTGGCTTAGCCAAATAGATTACCTATTTTTATTGTGACTAACCGATAAACCAATTATGCGTCAAGAAATATGATGTATCGTTAATGAAAATCATCACTCGCATGAATGCCACATACCACTGTATCTGATTCACTGACATCTAATTACATTGTCCAACCACTAGTAAGTAAGCTACAACGTAGGACCAGGCACATATATGCATCGGTCCAGGTTGCCATACCTCATTAACACAACAAGATGGACACCGGATTCATAAAAGTAGTTAATTTAGAGGTGGTAATATATAAAAGAAAGATTATGAATGAGAATATAGTACAGGAAGAAAGATTTAGTTCGTAGAAAGAAAGATATGAAGCGATTTTAATCTCTTAGTTTAACGGAAGATAGAGTGTATACAGCGACGCCATTGTGATCGATTCTGAGCCGTCACCCAGAGTCTCCAACCATTGGTTACGATAGTCACGCGGACCCCAACCAAGTAGTCTGCGTCTGCCAACATGGCTCAGACTAGAAGTTAGTGACTTCAAGAACTGATGCCACGTTTTGGTTTGGCCGCCTCTAATTCTCTTCCAACCATCCCGAACGAACGGTTAGCATTGCGCGTCGTGGTAATCGGTGTTCAGGCATACGTAACACGTGGTCCAACCATCTCAGCCGATGAAGATTCATAACCTCATCAACTGATTTACCATCATTCTCTAATACCCTGCGTCTAACCTCACTATTACTTACCCGGTGATCCCAGCAGACGCCAGCAATATTTCTGAGGCATATGTGGTCAAATACTAGTAGCTTACGAGTGTCTTCTACTCTGCCGTAAATTAAAACAGAATGGACTGCCGCGCAGTATACTCGTCCTTTTATTGATAGAGGGATATCTCGCCTTCGCCATAGGTGACGTAAGTTGGCAAAAGCCAAGCGAGCTTTTCGAATCCGTGTTGAGATTTCGTCAGACACCAACCCATTAGGGCTGATCAGACTTCCAAGATAAGTGAAGTTGTCAACGCGTTCGACTACTTCACTCCCTACCCTTAGTTCAGGTGTTGACGCAGACCAGTTCAACCACTAATAAAGCAACAAGGAGAATACCAATCTATTCAATATGTACAGGTAAACAGATACTATTAATGACATTGTTGCTAAAAACTACTACTGATCAATTTCAGTCCAAAGACATCAATGGGAAGATTCAAGTAAAACAATACCAAGTGAACTACTTATAGTTGTTTTACATTTTTCCCAATGTAGTACAAAGTTGAACTTAGGGTTGAAACAAAACGTCTAGTTTTTCAAAAAAAAAAACAACGGAATTTTCCCATTCAATCTACAATATCGCATAAATTCCCCCCTACCCACCCCAATATACATTTCATATAATGTAAGACAAAATATGAATAGTACCAATTTATTTTAAAATTGAGAATTACACATATAAATCATTCGACTTTGTCGTCAAAATCAGAAACAAATAGAAGAATCGAACTGATCTCATGTTGTATATGTTGAATGGTTAAACAGAAAAACGATTGAATTTAATACGTATAAAGTGTGTATGTGCGTGTGTGTGTGCGCATGGTAACATAAAGAAGATTTATGAAGTGTATACGAAAAAGTAAAAAAAAGGAATAATATTTGAATGGTAGGCATTTGGTTTGTACAAACCTTAATAATGGTAACGATAGTGATAATAATACTAATCATAATAAGGCAGACAGTGAAGAAAGCAGGTAACATTTCTATGCAGAAAGGCACTTGACAGTTGTTTGATGTTTTTTTAAACGAAAACAAGAAACGATACAGTATTAATGAATATTCTGCATTTTCGAGTGTATATGTAACTGACTAATATGGCTTAATGATGGCAAGCAAAATTTGTGCAGTTTTATTTTCGTAAGTGAGGAGATTTAAACAAGAAACAAGTTTATGAGAGGCATCAAGAAATTGACAATTTAAGAAGATACACAAAAAATAGCACATACACACACACACACACACGCATAGACAAACACATTTATCTCTGTCAAATGATTCCGTTAATTAAATTAATTAATTATTTTATTTACGCTGATTTAAGTATTATTGTTATAAACAGTTTGCAATTGTGTTTCTAAGGGATATCAATCACGAATGGGCTACCTGGTATATCTTGATCACCCCATTTAATTACTAAAAAGTGTTTACCACTTTGAAATACACGATATGATACAGTGTATTGATTATTGGATAAATGTTTGACGACCACTTCTTCAGATGCTTGTTTCGGACCACAAATACCAATAAGTAGAACATCATTACCTGAAATAAATAAAGGGAATAGGTTGTCAATCGGAAAAAAAGCTTATACAAGTAAAAAAAAATTTAATTTAAGCAAAGCTGTATAGTGGTTGGCAGTGGAATCCAGGACGCGAGTTTCGCTCTACTTGGGACTCGTCAGCTGAATCTACCTGCATCCCGGGGTTGATGTTTACTCCGGCACTCGAACACAGTGCCGTTCGCTTCAAACACCATTGCGTTCTCCACGTGCTTGTGCAATGGGGTGAAGTTTAAATTCACCTGGTGTTGTTTTACTTGTATCTTCCCATCGTTATTTAGGACTGCAACTCTGGGATGCAGGTACATCCAGCTGACAAGTCACAAACGAAACACGCGTCCTGGATTCCACTGATAGACACTAACCATCTTTGCCTAAAAAGCTTGTGACTTAAGACTATATCAAGGTAATCCACACAGGATGCACATGAGACTGACCAATCGCAGTCCTAAATAACAATAGGATGATACAAGTAAAACAACACCAAGTGAACTTATTTTGACTTAAATTTACATGAAAATAAATAATTGGAAAAGAAAAAAAGGAGACAATTTTACAGTCAGACAATCCTAATAAGTTGAATGCTAGAAGGTGACTTGTCTTAGAGTTTGCTTGGTACAAATGTTTAAGCGTATAAGTTGAATTTACCCACAAATTTCTTTTAAAACACAACAGTCTTAGACCTTTGGCTCTTTTTAGTTTATATCAATGATATTTGCGATTTATTTTGAATGGGCAAGTCTCTTCTATATACAGATGATCCTAAAGTACTGCATTCATTTTCTTCTCATGAACTGAACGAACAACATGCACAATTACATCAGTATGGAGCCCGACAAGGTAGCCTGGTGGTGCTCAAAATAGTAGTTGGAGCTTAACACGGCTAAATGATGATGGATGTGATCCGGTAATACATCAGTCAACTTTGATCTTGCCATAAATGGTAAGGTGCTATCTAAGTCACATACAGTAGTGGACTTAGGTACTCTTACAATTTGTCCTTCTGGTGTTGAAACAGACCTCCAGGTAATAAAGTCCTATGGGTCGCATAATTCTTAATCTCTATAACAACGAATCGCATATTATGATGTACAAAGTTTGCGCTTGATTACTCTCAGAATGCTACGCGATTATTCTTAGCAGTGTTCACATAAATGATGAATTAAAGTTGGAACCTGTTCAGAGACGATTCACATCTCGCA